GGATTTATGAGTATTGCACTTATTGATTTGGTGGAGAGCGAGAGTCCTGCCGAAAGTTAATACCTTAGGGTTAGTGTGTTGCAAAGTATATATTATGAAAGTATAAAGAAACAAACACGCACAGACCATTGAAAGTTGTCACCCGAACACGCATTGCAATGATTATGTTTCCTGCATTGATACCAGCGGCTAGTTGTTCACCTTCAGTTGTGGCAAACTCATTCCAAAGCGTGAAAATCATAGGCATGTTCCTGATATTTAGCAAATATACATTAACACTATTTTTTTACATTTAAATTAACCTCCGGAATAACTAATAGCACAACTCACTCAGCGTTCATAATCACGATGTCTCTCATGACTGAATCAAAGCCCCTATGTTTTGGTTCAAATGCATGAACAACTCCAAGCACATCTGTAGGTAAATGGTACATTTTGTCAAAGACATTCACAGGAAATCACAATTTTTTATAGCGTAGAACATGTATACAGAATGCACGGCGAAATAACTAATGAAATCTGACAATAAATGATTAAGAGGCGATGTTATCAACTACATGAGATTGCATCACAAAGAAGGAAAATGCATAGAAAAGTTGTGCGATTCCAGCAAAGGTAGCCAACATCCTAACCAATGGTGAACACAAGTAGTTATTGTAGAGTGATAATTCAATGATTTGACAAAAATAGAAACAAAAGATGATGAAAATTATTTCAACTGAAATAACTCTCCCCGGTAAATTTGATTTTCAGTTGTGATATTTAACTAACATGAAAAAAAAATTTCAGATTCAACAAACAAAACAATGAACTGATTGCATAATAAAGTACCTCAGTGGACGCAAAAAATCACATAATAAAGGACAACTAAATCAAAAAACATGAATAATGTGCAAAAATTTAACTCAAATATTTACAACAGATTAATAGGCTTACTCTGTAAGTTTTCAGAGTCTGCAAACTGGTGCAAGTTTGCAAATCTTGCGGTGTCCATATGGCAATAGAGGTGGGTCGGGACAACATCATCACAAGGCTGAATGAGGGTGTTGTTGTTGATGGTCCAAGAGAAGTCGTATGGTCCTACCCTATATTTTTCCTCAACTTTCTTCAGAGTTGCACCAGATACACGATATATCTTGTACGGGATCAAGAGATTAGCACCGGCCCTTATGTTATGGTTATAGGCAACAGCTGAAACATTAGTGCCCTGTCGTAAAAATAGTAAATTTAGTTTCGGCAACCGCGAAATTCATCAGCACATACTTTGAAGTTACCCTCAAATGTTGTTAAAAGTGTGAAGTATAAAGCCCGAAAAATTACCTCAGCATCACTGAAAAGAAACCTGCGGTAAGAGACAAATGTGTCTTTTTGGCTTACAAGGATATGACCTCGTTCGATGACTTGTATGACGACTGTCCATCCTCTAATGCGCGGGTGGACTTGATTGATGCTCAATGTCTTCCTCATTATTAGATAATTTGCTGCAGACATAGTAGTTCAACAAATAAGTTAGGAAAATTATTTGCCACATACAGTCTGCAATAAACATGCTATTTAACATACAAATTTAGAAGCAGGATCAATATATCGATTTATATCGAGTTATACTCTTGCTTTTTGCCCAAAAGAATGGACCATAATGAGTAAATGTTTGGGTTCATATGTACGCTACATCCATGTGCAAACACTAAAAAGCAAAAAACGAAACTGCTTGGAATAGCATGTTATTTAAGATATAGGTGTTGACATGTATAGTATTTTTATGGACTAAAATAGAACCTGCATTGAATAGAAACTAAATGCTCATTTATTTATAACAGATTCGTGGATTCTATGTTAGTGTAAGAGCAAACAACACATTCTCAGGCATAAATGCACAAAATCGAATTATTTGACTACCCATTCACAAGAAGCCCAAAATCTAACCAAGCAGTAAATGCATACATTAAAAGTGTAAGAATAAAAAAGACGATGCAATACCTTTTACTGTTATAGATATAGTCTGTTGTGGGCTTGGTGATTTCAAAGGGAAACTTGAAGTTTTTATAGACGGGAGTACAGAGTGTGGAACAATATAGTTAATTAGAAAAATAAATGTTTCCAATTGAAATATAAAACAAAAAAAAAATAAAATTTATTTGAAAAAAAGACTTTAGATTGAAATCTGAAAATAAAAAGTACATAGATCTATCAACTAAATCTTCCAAATTCGTACTTGGTTCAAATTTTTTTAATCGGTAAGGTGGGATGATTGATTTTCATGAGGTTGTTGAAAAGAACAGTAAATTGTGGAGAGAGATGCAGAGGTAGCGTGCTTGTTTGACGGGAAGGAAGCTTACGTAACGATATTGTCGCCGAAGGTAGTGGTTCGAAATTGTACCCACCACGTTAACCCATCGAACACGGCGTCCATAGGCGGCATGGTCGGGCCTGTAATTTACATATTCATGATCATTGCGGCTACAAAATAGATCTGTGATAACAGGCATGGGCCAAAGTTGAGGAGGTCGGATTTTTGGGAGTTTATTTGAACTTATAATTGAAAGAGCTCTCGCAGTGCTGTGGTGAAGAAGGCATTTCATATTATTATATTTTACAAACAAAAAAGCAACCTATTCTATGTGGCTGATAAAATTTTCAGATTGGCTTTACCTTTAGATTAGTCCACAAATTAATAAATAAGTGAAGCCATTAATCCTGCTCAATGGTCAGATAGTTTAATAGGTTTATAACCTGTACACAAATGTATAAATATACAATTTTGTTAATTATAGATTACTAGTTGACTAAATTAGAACATGTATGAGAATCATTATTTTTTTCGTCTTTTTTAGTATTTCAATATATATCACATATTTTAATAAACTTTTAAGAAGTATAGTTAAGATGTAAAGTAAGAAAAACTACCTGCGATTTGCCTAATTATTTTTTGGTACAATTTCAATGCTTTAACAATACTTTTGAAAAATCAGAGTTTTTTTCTGTTTCATACCTATAATTTCTTAAATTCAATATAAGCGATTTCAACGGCGAACGCGCAAAAAAAAAATTTGGGCACTAAATTGAGCAAACACGTTTTATCTTCATAAACGAACCTAATTTTCACAATCGGCCTCTCTTCTCTTGTCTTTACAATTCAATGGCGAAAACAAGAGATAAAACTGCGCGCGTGTTGTGCAAGTTTCTTATTAAACATTTATCTTGGATGTTGACTCTCGAAATTTTTTCTAAGTGTTACTCTGATCTCTGGGAAATATTTACCACAAAGCTGAAAATTTGTGTGAGTGTTGTTCTACCACTCCCCACGATAGCCAATAAACACCACAATGAAACCATTATTTGCACATCAATTCATCAAAATAATCCTTATTTAAAACTATTTAGGCACCAACCTTTAATAGAAACCAAAATGTCACAACATACTTACACAATGCACGACACATAAGACGTAAAAAAAAAAAAAAGTTTGATGTGAGAACCATATCCAAATAGAATGATTATCCAAACATCATTGACAATTAAAAGCGCAAACAAGACGTAAGTTTCAAAGGTTATTGAAAACATGGAGCAAACTTTGCGCAACCAAATCTAGGACTTCTTAATTTGGAAAGTCATGGTTTCACTCGAGCTGGATGAGGTGGCAACTTTCAAGTGGAGAGAAACCCCCTGACAACACCACTGCCATCAATGAAGGCACAGGATCACAATTCTGCAATAGGTTATCGTTGTGTCCTTTGATCACATAAGGGACATTTTTATTTTCTCGCTCAGCCTAAGGATTGCCTCAGAGTAGTTGATCTTTGATGTGTCCCATCCAAAATTGCATTACAATTGACTGCGTGTATAAGAATTTGATGTCAGTGCTATCTCTTTCTTTCAACTAAATACAAAGAGCATTTGCTTTGTGACTGTGAACAAAGGTGGAAGCAAGTAAAAAAAGTTAGTTACTAAGTGCACTCGCTCGACGTGCATTTATTTATTTCCAAATGGAAAGAGCATCGCGGTATACTAATAAAATTGTATGTTTCCATGACGGTCACCACAAAATGTAAAAGGCTCTTGCTTTCGAACACCAAAATGGACCCTAACGGCACGTCTTTAACTTGAAGAAAAGTATCTCAGCCTTCCTGCAGCGTGTAACCAAGACAAACATATATAAATACAATAAAAAATCAATAGAATTAATTAGATAAATAAGTATTGAAAAACTAGTGGGAAAAAAACAACAACAATATGAAAAACATTGACATATCCGTACAGAGAATATAAATTAAACCGCAGCAAAGAAAGACCTTTATTTATTTCTCTAAAACTTAATTCCAGGTGCATAAGCTATATATCCATCAATACACAAACAAACGCATTGACCCACCCAATAAACAAAAACAGGGAGCGGCAACAAAGACCAAAGTTTGAGGTTTCTAGTTTGAAACAAAAAAAACGAGCCTAGGCAGTGCAAAAAAACTAGCATCTATTTGCACAATAGAAATGAACAAGACCCAAAGATTTTTGTAGCGCCCCATTTGTTTATTAGAATTTTTGGAATTTACGTGATTATTTCCTTGCTTTATATTTGATCATTGACCTTGTGTTATATTATTTGTTCATTTATTACTATTAGCTGCTCGTACTTGCCCCCTTTCGATTATTTGCATACATATTTAAATTGTTATGTGAGATTCCATGCTTTATTATTTTTTTTTGTTATTTAATCGTAATTGCCAGTTTTATTTATCTACTTATATATTAACTTGCTATGTGCTTATTTGTTTTTGATTATTAGGTGATTTTATTTTATTTTGTGATGAATGTGAAATATTTAGAATTATTTTAGTTGTTAAGTTAGTCCATTGGGTAGTTCCGGTTTAATCGTGTGCATATTATTTTCGGTCCCAAGCGATTTAGTTGTAGCCTTTTGAGATGAATATTCTGGCCTTAACTTAAGTTGCTATACTTGGCCCAATTTTAAATCATCTCAGCCACAACCCAATTAATTATGCATGCTCTTGGCCCAATATTGAGGTTAAATTATCTCACATGCATAATTTTGAACAGATTATCTTTTCTCTTCCATGACCGAGTCCATCCCCATCTTCGCGTCAGTTACGATTTTCTTGCGAAATCCTTCGCACGTCTCTCTCTCGCTTTATAATATCTCGGCCAGAGGAGTGTTATCCTCATCAGACTCGTTCAAATCCCTCTGCATAAAAGATCTGTTCTTTCACAAAAAAAAAAAATAAAAAAAAAATTGTGCTTTTATTTTCCCGGCGACCACCACTCTTTCCGTTGAGTCCCTCCTCATCACAGCAGCCATCAGAGAAGCTTCAGCCGTTCACGCGGATAAAGCAGCAGTCCGGAGCAACGTCCCGCTTGCCGTCCAGTCGCTCGTCAAGCTCCTGCTAGTCCCGTTCGATTCGTCCATTTCCAACCAAACTCGTGGATTCCAGAAGTGAGGTAATTCGTCAAGCCTCCTCGTTATACTTTCGTACTCGAATATCATCGTGATCTATCATGTTCGTAGAATTAAGTTTGGTTGATTTTTGGATTGTTTTCAGTTTGTTCGTATCGTTCGATTTTGGTCTTTCGTGTTTTTATCGTGGATTTTTGGAACTCTCAGCTGCTGTGTAATTCGTATAGATGTTCGGAGTCCCGTTTTGTTGTTTCAAAATTTGCACCCCAGCCGTGGTCTTGTTGTTTGCCGTTCGTATAGCTTTCGAGCCGTTATGTGTCGTTTCGTTCTCCCAGCAGACCCGATTTTATAAAAAAATTCGAATTCTGTAGAATTTGTTATTTTCGATAAAATTTTTGGTGCTCGAATCTGTTCGAAAATTTAGTCGAAACTCGTTGCCGGGAATTCATTTTACAGCAAAGGTCTGTACTCTGTTATTTTGTTTCCCTGCTCGAAGTTACTGTTTCTGTTAATTTATTTTTAGTCCCAGACATTTCCTTAAAGTTATTAAATTCTGATTTCGGTTTTACTACCAACTGCGCCCGTAGCCTTGGTGTCCACGCCCATTTGATTGAGGGAGGTCGCGGGTTCGATACCTGCAGTACCCAGTTTTCTTTTCTATTTGGTTTCCAGCCTCGCGGGCCATAGGGCCCGAAACCAGCCCGCACGCGGCCCGAAATGTCCCTGCAGATCCTGGCCCGCAAGCTCAATTCCCAGCCCGCCTGTTCAGCTGGAATCAGGCCTTAGGGCGCGGCCCAATAATGCGTGTAGGCCCAACTTTTTGCCAATTTTCAGCCCAGTGTGAGAAATTAAGGTCATGTGTGGCCCTTGTGACTAATTTTGAGTCTCCGAGTCCGATTTTCGAGCTAAACTCATTTCTAAAAATTATTTTCAGATGTAAAAATTTAAGAAAAATATTTCAAGTCTCGAGACCCCATTGTCTTTTTTTCGAGTCTCCTTCCTTTTTAAATTCGAGAGTTCCAAGTCCACGAAAAATTCGATTAAATCCCTTAATACTTAATTTTTATTAAGTGTGGGTTTTCGAATATTACTGAGTAATGAGATAGATTATTGATATATTTAAATGTAGGTGTTTGAGGAGTCAAGCATCTGCCTACTACCGATTATTTTATTCTCGCCTATCTCGTTTTGCCAGGTGGGTGTTGATAAACTTTACCATGTATGTTATTCTTTATAATTGCTTGGCTTGATAATCAATGTACGCATGTGAACCGTTAGTCTATGAGAGGTTCTCACGTCGATGGAGTTCCGATGTTTTCCTATTTATGCCTACTGAGAGGTTTCTCCCGTGAATGGGCTTGTCCCGACGGTTTAGTTCCCGTGAATGGGCGGTGTCCCGACGGTTAGGGGTGTACACACGAGCGTAGGGCGGTATAGGAAGTAGGCTAGACGATTTGTGTTCATGCTGCGATTATGATTTTAAGTCATTATATTGGATAGACTGCATTGTATTCCCACGGTGAGCAAGTGTTCGCTCACCCCACTATTATATCTCTTTTCAGGTTGAGCTGGTTGTTGTGGCGAAAGACGAACAAGGCGGGTCATATATTTGATATTGAACTGTTTTATCTGCTTCCTCTTGTTTAATTATTATTTATCTCATTGCCAGACTTAATTATTATTGATGTTTGAATTGAACCATGTTAGAATATTTGTTTTGGAAACCAGACTATGTAGTTGGATTATTATGCATGTTCGAAATGGGAATTTGGATATTCTTACGTTGGGATTTTATTGTGACATGGTAAATATTGGCATGAGATATTTGTTCTGGATGGTTGATTCCCTGTTGGTTAAGTGTTGACTTAACTGTTGATATGTAAAGTTGATGTGTAGCGCCCGTTAAATAAGGTTTAAAAAATTTATTTGCGAAAAATTAACTCTGATTTTGAAAAAAAAAATAATTCGGTATTTTTCTATTAAAATAATGGGGCGTTACAGTTTGGTATCAGAGCAAGTTTACGTTTCTGTAGACTGCTTCTGAATTTGTTTATGTATTTATATTATGACCCCTCGCTT